CCATGTGTGAGTTCATAAAGCCAGAATTACGTACAAACCATCTACTGTAAAGTTTCTGTGCTTTGTGTATATTCCAATCTCAGTGGGGGCAGGGTGTATGTATAAACATTTTAACTCCAATTGAATTGGGGCTCTGTATAGTTCATACCAGAAACATTGTGTTCTCTGAAAGCGTTTTCTTCCCTCTTTTACTTATCTTTTGCAGCCTACGCATGCTTACGTAGCTCACTGCGTGAATTCTCCTTCTTGACTGAAAAAGCTTTAGAGAACTTTACAACCGTTTTATGTTATAAAGTTATATAAAGTTTACATTGGGGTTTTTATAAATTTTTCACTTAAACGAATGGAGGACTGTCAGCTGTCAAGGAGAGCTCCCCCATCCTTCCCCTCACGGACAGACTGATAAAGCAATTGGGATGTGTTAACTATCCAGCTGTTGCAAAGGGTTCAACTGCAGCAGCCACAAATAAATTAAATAAAAAAGTTTTTTTTCTCCTGATGGTAATTGTAACTAATTGTCACGTTTCACATCCTTGCCAAACAACTATATATATTTGATGTGTTTTTTTTATTTTGAAACCATGATCTTGACATGCAGGTGTTATGTAGAGTTAACAGCTTCAGATTTAAATAGGTTATTAATAATATCTTCCGTATCGCATTATCATTGGAATGTTCTTACAAGTGTAAAAAGAGGCGATACACAGCATGTCTCCTCTATAACTCTTCAGTTTACAGAGAAATTCCATCACACTATATTGTCCAAAAATACTCTTCTTCTGTCTAATTTCTAGTTTAGCAGGATTTGCACAATCAGCACAATGTTTAATAGGGATGACATTACCTACGTCTATCTCACTTTTCAACACAGGTTTGAGGCAGAGTGTCTGTTAATAAAACAGAGTGCCTTCCAATACATATAACTACTGCATGATTTCTTTATCCATTTCAGCTAAATGAGGGAAATTAATGAGTCAGAATCTTTGAGTGCCAATTTTAAAAGTAAGCCTTCTTCCCCCGTTGTTTAACTTATATTTTACAATCAAATCCTAAAATAACATGTTGGCTTACTACTATTTATTACTAAATATTCTTAATTCTAGATACTATATTTAATTAAAAAAAGAGAAAAAAACTAGTTATACTGTGTTTTAGTATAACTAGTGCAGGAATGCACTAATGGGTTAAAAAACATTTAATTTTTATTATAAAAATATGTATTGTGTGACAGCAGTACACAGCTGTGATACATTAAAGATTCACTGTGACAAAAAAAATGTGTTGGGCGGTACCTTTTGACATACTGCAGCATGTTCTTTGCAGTACTCTCCAAGGCAACCATTCTGAGTGGCTGCATCTAAAAGAATGTATAACAGTTCCCAAAACTGCCACTTCCGTGAAGAAACTTTTCCTTTTTATAGCCTCAAAATCTGTGCATTAAGTGGTTCTATAAAATCTCATGTTTATAAAGATGTAAAAAAAGGATCAGATGAATCATATCTACAGTATATGACAATTATTATTTAAAATCTGCACGATAATTTAAGAAAGAAGTGATACTTGCCTCCAATAACCGCCAAATCAGTTTGCATTACATTTGATAGTGGCTCTTTTCCTCTGTCTGATTTCTCAGAATGATCTATAGATTTTGAAAGAAAAAAAAAACATGGAATGGGTAAATACTTATCATTCCATTTCCATCTAAAAAAATTAAAAAAACACAATTATACAAAAATAAAAGTAATGCACGCTTTTGTACTATAAACCCATACAGTGACAGAGTCCATGCATAAAGTATTACCTTGCACAAAATGAGAACCATGCTGTTTAAGAAATATAATCAAGAAACAACTGGCATCTGGCATGTGATGCAAATCAATGCATACAAGCTATTTTCCAAGCCTGTGTGTCCTGATTGTTCTACATTCTAGTTCAAAGTATGAAAAATTAAATGCTAGATTAAGAATATTAGATCACATTTGTACCAAATGTTTAATATACGTTTTTAAAAATGATTGTCAACGCACACAATTGAGAATTAATTGAGTATGCTAGCCTCTTACTTGTGCAGAAACTATTTTTCAGTTTATGTTCTGCTTTAAAAATCCAAACAAAGATGAATGAGATTTTAATTTAAATACATTTTGATAAACACCTTTTTAAAAATATGTGGTGCAAACCAAAAGAATAGGGACAGTAAAGGAATTATTTTTTTTACTTTACAGTGAAACAATATTTATTTGTGATCATGAGATTAATGTGAAGTAGAATATAAGTTTTTGGGGGGTCATTGCCATGCTGCTTTTCTATATACAGTATAAGCATTTTCTTTAACTTAAGTAGGCCAAATGTTTCTGTAAACTTTAGAATTCAATCCATTCTCATTACATTTACATTATCAGTAAAAATGGGTGAACCAGTCCCAGATATGGTTTTTCATACATAGGCCATTTCATTACTTCTACTATACTTCATAGATGAGATGGTGTTCTTGTTCTTTGAAGCATCTGCAGTTTATTTCTCCATCCTTTAACCTTTCCATATATTTGATCATTATTTATTTATTTAACACTGTCCATAAAACTTTTTTTTCCAAAACGGATATGGCAGAAGTACATCAACTTTGTACTTCTGAGGTAATTCTTATCTGACTTTTCTATTCGTTGTGCTAATGAGAGGTTTGACATCTTGCAATGTAGCCTTTGTAATTATGGTTTCATATTTTTCAAACGAGATCCCATTAGCTTCATCCATGCGCTCTGAAGGTTGCTGATGATTTCATTGACAGTTGTTTTCAGATATACATTGATAAGTTTTCAGTGATCAATAAATTTTTGGCTAATTGAAAATAATATGTATCATTTTTTAGTATATTCCAAATTGTGTTTTTTGCTATGCCCATTTTCCATGGTATAATTCTAATTGTGTTTTCAGCTTTCATATTGATTGCTTTTCTTCCATAGAAAGGTCTTTTGTTTTCAATTTAACAGTTAAATATGGATCCAAAAAGGTAAATCAGTCAGCATATTTTCCCAGTATATTTGCTCCTTTAAAATTGAGGTTTATCGATATCAATATATTTAAATTATACAAGAGGGAAGTACTAAATAAATGTTATTAAAAGTTGCATTTTTAATTGAGAAATGATTATGAAAAGTTCCTAGTGAAAATTCCAGTTTAGACACAAGTGTACCAATACTTTTGGAGGGCACAGTTAGGTTTGTTTGCATACAGCTTGGAAATCAACAAGTTTCTTCAGAGTCACATGCAAAGTGATTGGAGTATATTGTGCAGAAGCAAAATTTTCACTTTGATTAAACTTTTAGAATAGACACCTTCCGTATAAATTACTTTGATCAAGGCTGGAGCATTCTGAATGTATTAATTTAAGCTACTTTTTAAATTCATGCATGAGGAAGAAAACTTTCTTGCAAAGATTCCAGGGAGTTTCAACAGTGGAAAGATTTCCTTAATTATTTGAATCATACCGAGGTGATGGCTGGTTTCTCATGTGATGTTCTTTTATCTATTTTTCTATCACTGTCCCTTCTATAAATGGGGAGGGAATGAGTAAAATAGTTAAAAATGAAACTCTGAATGTAAACTATATAGAAATTCAGTACTTGACCCCAATCTGAACTTTCTGATCCTATTCATTCTTACACGAGCATGTCCTTCTAGTATGATTGACATTAACAGAGTTCTAAAATTACACCCAGATATTGTCAGATTGCAACTAAGCAAGGCATGACCTTGTAAAAGTTGGGATGGGACATCTCCAAAGAAATTCAGGTTGCTGCTTCAAGTGGTGTTTGTGTGTTTGTGGAATCTCTTTCTTATCTGTGTATCCAAGTGCCATAGGACTTTGACTTTTACAATGAGAAGGATTGTTACAACCCTGGTGTTGTCATGCTAAATTCCACTCTGGACTTGAAAATCCTGGTCTTCCTAAATTTCTCCCCGTTATTCTTTTCTTTCTACCTGATCTGCTGGGAGTTATTGTAACTATTATTATTATTATTATTATTATTATTATTATTATTATTATTATTATTATTATTATTATTTGTAAAAATGTACAGAGCAACACACACATTCTGGAAATACTGTTGCTTATTCTAGAGCAAAATTATTTTTTATAAGGACAGTGCCACATGACAATGGTTTGTCATACTATTACATGTCTAATTATCCAAAACTTACTTCATTATGCAGTTTACTTCCCATGTTATCAACAGTGATCATCCCAGTGCCTGTAGTACTATTTCCTTATCCTATCTTGTGATAATTTCCATTGTTGTAAAGACATTTTAATTTAAAGGCAAACCTGCAGTATGCTGTCAGAGTTTATGCTTTGACTCAGAAGTGGTTTATAGACTGTCACCAATGTTAACATTTGTTCCGTGACATTTCATTAAGGGGGAAGGTGTGTTTTTGTCGTTTGTAACAGTTTTTGTAACGTTTTGACAAATAGAGAAACAATACAAGTAACAAGAATCAGACAGCAGTTGTGAAAGATACAGCATCTAAAATGACAGATACTGTACATTTGATTGTCTGTAATAACCTAAAACAATTCTCAAAACCTTAGTGAAATGTATTGAATCTCTGTACCTTAATTCAAAGAAAAATAAGTTTATATAGACACTTGTGCAATACAGGAGTCTGATCTCATCAAACCTCATTCCTTCAGATGAATTTCAAATACAGAATGCAAGAAGTGTGTGAGGAGGGATAAAAAAGTTAAAATAAAAATGCAACTAGAGAAGGAACTACAGCAAATGAATAAGTGTGTCATTCATATGGACCACATATAGCTTATACTGTAGCTATATGTTTAGTTTACTAACAATGGATTTATACAATCACATCAGGAAATGACAGCAGTTCAAAGAAGTATCTGTTTTTTTCATATAAAGAAGAATGTTTTAAGTTATCGAGAGAAGAACTGTATTCATTAGCAACAAACTATAACATACTGAAAGGGATCAGACATAGCAATGAGGTAAATGTTCTATATATAGTAAAATATTAAACCCTGGTCAATACACATTGATGATCAAAATAATGGGCTACATATTGATTTTATTTGCAGGGATATATACTGTATATACAGACATGTGAAAAAGAAAGTACACCTTCTTTCAATTCAATGGTTTTACATATCAGGGCATAAATAACAATCATCTGGTCCCCATCAACTTGTATAATTAGACAAATCTAGCCTCAGATAACAGACAACACATAACACATTTTACTATGTCATTATTTATTCAACAAAAAGTAAGCCAAAATGCAGAAACCATGTGTGAAAAATTAAGTACACCCTTGCTGCTTCTATAGGAATTAAGAAGGTAATTAGCGGCCAGGTGCTGCTAATCAAATGCACTTGATTAGTTGATCATCAGGAAGTGTGATCACCTCCATAAAAGCAGAACTTATAGCAGTTTGGTGATCTGGAGCATTCAGGTGTGTGTTAACACCATGGCAAGGAGAAAAGACAAGCAGTTGTTGCTGCTTATCAGTTTTGGAAGGGTTATAAGGCCATTTCCAAACAATTTGAAATCCATCATTCAACAGTGAGGATTATTTACAATGGAGAACATTCAAGACAGTTGCCAATCTTCCCAGGAGTGGGCGTCCCAGCAAATTACCCCAAGGTCAGACTGTTTAATGCTCAGAGAAACCACAAACAACCCAAGAGCTACATCTAGGGATCTACAGGCCTCGGTTAACATGTTAAATGTTAAAGTTTATGACAGTATGATCAGAAAAAGACAGAACAAGTATGGCTTTCATGGAAGGGTAGCCAGGAGAAAACCCATTCTTTCCAAAAAGAACATGCCAGTGTGGCTTAGATTTGCAAAGTTGCATCTGTACAAACCACAAGATGTCTGGAACAATGTCCTTTGGACAGACGAGACCAATGTGGAGATGTTTGGTCATTATGCACAACGCCATGTTTGGCAAAAACCAAACACACCATATTACTACAAACACCTCATACCAACCATGATGGTAGAGGGGTGATGCTTTGGGCTTGGTTTGCAGCCACAGAACCTGGGCACCTTGCAGTCATCAAGTTGACCATGAACTCCTCTTTATACCAAAGTATTGAGATAAATGTGAGGCCATCTGTCTGACAGATAAAGCTTAGATGAAATTGGGTCATGCAATAGGACAATGATCCTAAGCACACCAGCTAATGTACAACTGAATGGCTGAAAAAGAAAAGAATCAAGGTGTTGGAATGGCCAAGTCAAAGTCCAGACCTCAACCTCATTGAGATGCTGTGGCTGGACCTTAAGAGAGCTATGCATAAATGAATACCCTCAAACATCAATGAACTGAAGCAATGTTGTAAAGAAAAGTGGGTCAAAATTCTTCCAAAATGATGTGAGAGACTGATAAACTCACACAGAAAATGATTACTTCAAGTTTTTGCTGCTCAAGGTGGTTCTACAAGCTACTGAATCATGGGGCATACTTAGTTTTTCATACATGGTTTCAGCATGGTGGTTGATTTTTTGTTAAATAAATAATGACATAGTGGAAGGTTAGATTATCTAATTTTAGGACCTGGTCAGGACCAGATAATTTTTTATGTCCTAATATATAAAACCATAGAATTGAAAGAGG